TTTTGAAGATATAGCTTTTAAAATAATCTTATGAATACCATTCGAGCTTTAAATTAAAATCGGTTAATTGCCTCTTTATTCCTGCATAGTGACGCCGAATGTTCTCAAATTGACACTCTTCTCCCGTCACTATGCAACAACAAATCAGAAATTAACCGATAAATTTAAAGCTCTTGTGGTATTATAGCCGATTAATAATTATAATTATATTTTTTTACATGAAACGACCTGAAAATGTGGTACTATCATATCATATCTCTATGTTACTTTACAATTTTTTTTATCAGGCCAATGTGATCCAAGATAGATGGAAGAATATCAAGATCGGTGAGCGTTTCAGCCAAAACATGTGGAGTATGGTCAAAAGGCACCATTTTGATGAAATAATTCAAAACTTTTTATATTACGAATAAATATTATATTTTTCTTTTTAAGTCTTAAGTATAATTAACTATATTTTCATTTAAAAAAAAATGGTTTGTATTTATTTTTATTTTAAAGAATTATCAAAGATTAAATAAAATGGTTAAATTAAAAATAAATAATATATTAATATTAAAATAAAGAAATCATTTCTAGGGGTTTAAGAAATAGCTGAATAAAATGCTTAAATGTTTACCCAACTACCCAAGGATTTTAAAATGGATAAAGGTTTTTATATAATTCCGGACAAATTATTACTTAATTTTGTTAAAAAAAACATTATTAAAAAACTAATACTTAAAAAATAAATAAATAAAAAAATGGTTGTTTTAATTGATATTATTCAAAATTTGGCAACTTCTCAGATAAAAGACTGGCGTTTTTGGCACTATTTAAAAATAGTTCGGTTGAAAATGTATAAGAAATGCAAAAAGTTCTCATTTTGTACAATATCGAAATTTAATTATCCCAATTAAATTTGTTTTTAAAATTAATTTTAACCTAGCCCCCACGGCATGCCGTCAAAGTTTTCACATGTATTTTTTAACATTAATTTTTGAAAATTTGATAATAATAAAAAATTCTTAATTCAAAACAAGATTTTTAAGTTAAAAAATGTCTTTTTGACTGTCATGGGGGCCAGGTTAAATTAATATTAAGAGCTGAAACTTGGCAGGAATTTTTCTAAATTTATTTTAAACCTATTTAGGATGAGCTTGAAAAAAATCGTAAAAAAATGAAGATGGTGCACCCTAATAAATAAATATATGTGTAATAGTTATTTGTTTTACAAGTGTTAGGCCGAGTGTGCATAAACACAAGCTTGAAGAAAGCTTTTCTCAAAAGTGAAATACAATGTTTTTTCTACAACCCTTTTATTTTTTTTTATTTTCAAATGCAAAACAAAATAACCTAAAAACTTGTTTGGCTGCTGTTAAAATTACGATGCTGTCAATTTCTTTTCACACAGACCTGTCACTTTTCACACAGAAATGTCACTTTACATTCTAGTTTTGCCTTGCCAATGAAAATATTCATTTTCTAAGCATTACGAAAAGTGACTTTTACATAGAGGTCGTAAAAAAATATTACCTGATTTCTTCTTCAGATTTGATGGCTTACTACCTAATTTAAAATAGAAAAATGCTATCACCTAATATTTTTCAAAACAACATTTTGGACATTATAGAAATTGTAGAGAAGGTACGAAAAGGATTACTAATTAAAAAAATCCTACTTGATATTTAAAATATAAAACATTCGGCTTTGTTTTTAATTTAAAAAAATAATTTTAATAATCGTACATTGAAAAGTAGATGTCTATATGCATGTAAATAATGAATACTGAATAATTTGGTGTTAAAATTATTGCAGAGGTCGCAAATTATGATAGGTATAGTTAAATGGCTATCTAAACAAATAGTTTTTCAAATTAACCTTTTTAATTTTGATTTAATGGTCATTTTTTAATCGAAAAAGAGTTACTTTAAATATATTTACAAAAAAATCATACTTTTTATAATCGTTTAAAAAATTTAATTTATTATAAGCGCTATTTTTAGCCAAATTGTTTTAAGTGTTTTAAAAGCATTCATAAAACTTTTTTTTACAAAACCTGTTGGTTTAAAGTGTTTTTAACAAATTGTCGTCGTAAAAATGTTCCGCCGATAGACACGTGCGTCGGACCCCACGATAGTAGTTACCGGTTAAATAAATTGCTTATAAACCAAAAATAGAAACGCGTTTTTAATATTCTAAAAATATATTATTTAAATACTTATTACATTTTTTTATTGCATTAAACCTGTTTAATCAATTAAAAGTGGTAGTTTACAAAACATTTCAATCAATATATAAAATAACTGTTTGCCAAAATAAATTATTCCAACAATTTGTTGAATTTATTTTACTATAAAATACCTTAATTTTTTTACGATCTATTTTTGTTTAGTACTTAACTAAAAATACATTTTAAACATTTATGTTGTTTATAAAATTAATTAAAAATAAACCAAACATCCCGTATACCGCTTAAACTTGTGTGTTTATAATAAATTTTCTAACGAGCTTATTGATTGAATTTTAAAGTTAAATTTTCCAGAATATCAAGGTGATAATTACCAAAAAGTGCTCATTAGTAACCTATCTTTATAATTATTTTGAGCGCCTTTTCCAAGGACTGAATAAAACTTGTGCTGTGCTGATATCTTAAAATAGAGAATGTAAAATTAAGTGTCTCCTTTGCACTTAACTATTAACATCTACTTAAGAGGTACAAATAAAATTCATTAAGCACTAAAATTATGTATACGGATGTATTGATTTTATATTCGTATTTGTTCATTTAACATTTTAAGCTGGAATTAAAAGTACAATAAAAAATACATTTTTTTTTAATTTTTAGACTGCACATTGCACTTGTTATATGGATCATTTTACACCAAAACGCCTAATCAATGTCGATTTAGAAATAAATAATAATTTAAAAGTTAGTTAGTTAGTTATAACTATAGTTAGTTATATTGTTAAATTATTTTGTTCTATTAGCCTATTATTATTACATGAAGGACCCGAATTTTGTTAATTCTCCTTATTTTTTTATTTTTAAATATTTGCATCAATAAATTCAAAAATTAATAGGTATAGAAAAAAATATAAAAATAATAATCAACTACCTAATTTTATGAAAAACTGTATTATTTTGTTTTAGACGCTTAACACCTAAACAGCTAAAAATCAAAGGGCTAAACTAGAATCTATTTAGAGTATGTTTGATCTTATTATTTTTAAATTATATTTAACTTCCCAAAACTAAAATGTATATGTACAGTGTTGGCCATAAATTTTGCAACCACAGTAAAAAAAATCTAACTCTAAAACGCCTTTATTATTCTTTATGAAATTTTGGATAAAAATACTTCAACTTATATCTTAGTTTACGTCTTCGAGGGTTTTTCGAGAAAATATTTTTAAAGCCTTTAACAGTAACATAACAGTAACTAATTCTGTAATTGGTACGGTATTTTTTCTTAGAACAACGCGAGCGAATTCGCAGACATGCAGCTAGTAAAAATTATATTTAATTTGGTATGAAATGACCCATATACAAAAAATATTGGAAATACTATTCCATATTAGGTATAACAAACATATTTAGGTAATAATTTTTTTTTAACTTCAGATAAAATGAAAAATAATGTAAATAAATAATGTTACATTTTAATAGTATATTATATATCAAGTTTAATAAACGCCATTTTATACACGAATTTAATTTAGGCACGAGCGTGCTTGCGAGCGAGTGCTTAAGTTAATGAGTGTATAGAAAAGTTTATAAACGAGGTGCATACTTTACTTTTTCTACGACAAATACTTATTATTATCTTAAAATGATTTAAATCAAAAATTTGTATAGAGCGCCATCTATGAAACAACAGGGGAAACTGTCAAATTTCACATTTTAACATTTTAAAAACACAATTATATAGGTTATAAATCGAAATGTATCTTAAAAATTGACAGTTTTTCACAGTGAAAGTAAAGGAAATGTTTTATGAGGACTTTACAGTAGAGTCCTTGCCTGAATTTAAGTTATAGTTTACTGCCGGCGAAATTAAAAGGTCAGTACAATGTTCATATAAACTTGTGACTAAAAACCTGTTGCTAACTTCAGCCCGTGACTAAAGCGCCGTAAAGCCACAACTTGTCAATGTGTATTTAAAAGGTCACTTAGTGTCATGGAAACATGTACGATAAGGGGCGTTTTAAAGGTGGGAGTAGAAAAAGTTTATTAGCAGTCGGCAAATCCGAAATTCTGCTATTAAAGCAAGAACACTTGAAATATGAAAGAGTTTGTGTTATACGAGAAAGAGTTGCTGAGTCCTTAAAGCAGATGGTGCAAAATAGTAGGTACATGTATTCTGTAATTAATTTTGACTTTAATTAAAATTTTACGTAGCACATGTACCTAGAAATGTTTTAGTACGTAAAGCTATTTTAAAGACGCATTAATTTTGTTTTATCAAGTTTATAAGCTTCTTTGTGAATAAACTTTTGAATGGTATCAGAAAATCCACTCAAACTGAATAAATTTCGGTGTAAAAATATATCGCATGTTTAAAGTTACAAATTTGATTTGATATTTTTATTTAAAATATTTCCACGAGCGAGAGTCAATATAAAGTGTTGCCAAAACATAAAAATAATACAAATTATATATTTCAGTAAACCTGCCGAGTTACAAATCATTAAAATGATTTATAGGCGGACGCTTGTTTAGCCTGTAAAAAGTCTATAAAAGTTTACAGTGTTAAAATTTTTATAAACTGGTTTTCAATAAACAATTCCCACAACATTAAAGTTATTTTAAGTTGTTCATTATCATTTGCGAAATATCCTGTTAAATAAGGCAAGAAAACCCTAATAAAATTAAAAAATAAATTTGTTATCATTAAATAAAAGCTATTTTTAAATTGAACGTTTTAATAAAAATTATCTTAATATTATAATTAGTATCTAAATCAAAACATTTTATTATCATTTAATAATCCAAGATATTCATTTTATAAAAAAAATTGTTAGTGCTAGACCACACAAGTGGGTAAGTTTCTTGATATACATATTCACATTATAAATTATAATTAACAGGGTGTCTTAAAAATGGCGCGATAGGGGAAGATATAAAATCACTTTTCTCTTATGAGTAGTTTTCGCATTACTAAGCAATTCATTTAAAAAACGCTGTGTATGATAGGCAAAATATTATAATTTAAATAATTTAGCATTTTTTTATGTATACGTTTACCATAAACTTGTTTCTACTAAGAAAGTTTTGTTTTTATTTTTAAAAATTCCACAATTAAACAAGTTAGCACTTTTTAAACGTTAGTGGGCCATTTTTGGGACACCATGAAAAAATATTATAACTATTAAAATTTCTTTTTTTGTTTTCTATTTTTAGGTCTAGAGGTAAACCTTTTTGGTTTACATAAATATTTCATAGGTATTTTATTTAAAATTTAAAACCGTAAGTATTATTTTTTTATTTGTCAAGGTATACAAAACATACAGGGTGATTTATTATAATTGCGGAACAATTCAGGATACGATTCCTTGCTTGAAAATGATTAAAAAAAGAAGTTTTAAGTTATTAGGAAAAAACTTTACTTTGTACCTTGGAAACTAGTTAATAGGAAGTCATGGAATCTCATTCAAATTTTTTTCGAGTATTTGGCAAAAAGTTTTCTAAATAAAAAATTTATTACAATAATATTGAATAATAGTAATTTTTACATTACATACAAAGTTTTTGACATAATTATTTATTTGAATGCCAAGTAAAAATGTTTTCAAAAGTTAAACTTGAACTTAGTGACTTTTGCTTATATTAATGATTGATATTGATATCAACATATTATGTCACCAATAAGTTATCTGTAAATGTATAGGCGTTGTAATTATAAAACTTTTTTTAGATGAAGTGGATTTTACTTTTAGCAATCGGGTGTGCTTTAGCCTCTATTATAAAATCAGAATGTAATAACTGCTGTCCAGATTGCTCAAACGACTGCAATGATTGTCAAAAACGCTGCGAATCTTGCAGTGAAATCTCTTGCTCCAGTTGTTTAACATCTTCCACAAAATGTTGTTCCGACTGTTGCAAGGAAAACAGTGAACCAGAACCGAGCAGACTGGTAGCAAATAATGAAATTATAGGGGTACCAATATTGGTTACACCTGGACCTTCTGAAACTACAGCTGATGGTGGCAGTGTAAATAATAATAGTACTGTTAATTTTGAAGCAAATTTAAATGTTTCTAATAGTATAGATAACGAGAATGTTATTCATAATCCAATAAATGTTCATTCTTTCATTAGTAACAATATAAAGGTAACATTTTTCTAGGTACATAAAAATATTTAAAATCATCTATATTATTGTTATTTTAGCTAACTGGAGATGCAGAGGAATTTTATCCAGACTCAACATGGACTAAATCTACCACCTCAACAGCAAACAATAGGGAAACTACTGAACCTGTTACAGCCATAGAACATATAACAACAACTAAATCTACCTCCATAACAGAAGAAACTCGGGAAACTGAACCTGTTACTGAACCCACTAGGCCTACGGAATCAACCACTCCAATTTCCCCAATTTGCCCAGTACCCACATTATGTCCCCCCCAACAAATCCCAGTTCTGCCAATTCAACCAAACCTTATCCCCACTGTAATGTATCCTCAACCAAGTCCAACACTTTGTTCAATATTAGGAAATTGTCCTCAATTACCTATTCAGCCAATACAACCAACAATAATTTATCCTCAGCCACAACCTATGCCTCAACCAAACCAAACTCCTTGTCCAACAACAGGAAATTGTCCCCCAGTACCTGTTCAGCCAATGCAACCGAACATTATACCCACTGTAATTTATCCTCAGCCACAACCTATGCCTCAACCCAATCCTTGTCCAACATCAGGAAATTTTCCTCAAGCACCTGTGCAACCAATGCAACCAAACAATATCCCCACTGTAATTTATCCTAAACCCAATCCAACACCTTGTCCAACATCAGGAAATTGTCCTCAAGTACCTATTCAGCCACTACAACCAACTGTAATTTATCCTCTGCCACAACCTATACCTCAACCAACACCAGGAAATTGTTTTCAGCCAATACAACCAACAATATTTTATCCTCAGCCACAACCTATGCCTCCTTGTCCAACAACAGGAAATTGTCCCCCAGTACCAGTTCAGCCAATACAACCAGACATTATTCCCACTGTAATTTATCCTCAACCACAACCTATACCTCAACCAAATCCTTGTGCAACATCAGGAAATTGTCCTCAAGTACCTTTACAGCCAGAATTTATTCCAACTTGTTCATCTGGAAGTTGTCCCCAACCCACCAATCCCACTGTTATTTATGCTCAATCTCAACCAGCTCAAGCAGACATTAAATGTAGAAATATAATAACAACGATTTGTGAAATAAATGGCTATCGCACAGCTTGTCCACAAATGGGTTCGTGCCAACAAAAAATTAATAAATATTGGATTGATAGTCCTTGTAAGCAAACCTATTTATATTAATGATGCAATTTCACTTACTGTTTTATATTTCAGATTGTCAAACTTGCAGACAATGTTCCATTAACTATATTCCAGGATTATGCAATTTACTTTCTAAATATTGTTACCAACAATGTGTAGTGTCTCCATGGAGTGCACAATCCATGTTATATCAGAATAAGAGAAAATAATCAAAAAGTTAGTTGTTATATATTTGTATTTTTATGACATGTAATTCACAACAGTTTTTTTGTCAAACACAAGCAAACTATGGACATGCAATTATTATAATAAACTGTTAACATTTAATACATTAACGACATAGTGAAATATATTGAAAATCATCATACTATTTTTATTAGAGATTGTGTGTTATTGATGTATAAAAATATATTTTGAATTTATTTAATAAATAAAGTATTCTATTTTAAATTATTATGCTAAATTTGTATTCTTATGAACGGATGTGGTAATGGCCAACTGTAAAAAATAATTTTAAAAAGTTAGTGAGAGTGGTCTGGTGACCAAACAAATTTTGTTCATTTGTGTAAGATCGAATAAAAATATAGTACTTAACTTTTCTTTATTCAGGGGATAATGCATAAAATTGGTACTTTGTACTCCACTTAAATTACTTTTTTTCTGTTTTTCATCCTTCATTCAATTTTCCGGTAAAATTAAAAAAAAGCTTCACCCCATCAGTCAAAACTTTAATTTCAGGTTTTCCAATATTCCTCCTTTTTTCAATGATAGTTCTTTCCTGGCTCATGGCCAAATAAGGTTTGTAAAGGTTTAAAGAAAAGCTTGTTTAAATTATGTTTAGAAAAAAATGCTTCTTAAGTCGTTTTTAGATTAATAACAACTTCATCTGGATATTTTTATTTCTTTGGCTGCTTGCTCATTACTGCATGATTTCAAAACGACTACATTGCATTGCATTTTTTATACAATATCCTTATAACATTTAGATAAGCATACGTTTTAGAACATTTGTGCCCTTGTGCCCAGGGCCATATTTTCCATTAGGCAGGCAAGGCAATTGCCTTAGGCGCATTGTCCCCAGTCAACTTAAAATTTCCCAAAAATAAAACAAATAAACAATATACTATTCTTTACTGTTTTATTTTATAAAAATGCGGCTTCCTTTGTAATAACGCGGTGTGAGCCGCGCTTAAAGCGTGCCGCAAATTCACTTCTGTTTTTATGTACTATCGGGGTAATTATTATCTTTCCACTAGCGATCCAATATGGCTTAAAACGATTTAGCTGGTAACGCCTCGGTGTACTTATTGTCTATCCACTAACGGTTTTTTTTTTTCGATTTATATAAATTTAAAGATAAATTGATATTATATGTGAGCAAACATGCAAATGCCGATAAATACATTTTAACTTATTTTGCGGTATTAGCCAAAAATGTGTACAGCCGAGTCCCCCAAAGATTTATAAACTATTAAAGGAGAATGTTGCTCCTGTTGGGTTGTCCTTAAAATGCTGTGCCAAGTCAAAAGAGTTTACCAAAATTAGTAAGAATTGGTACTATAGTATATATACTCTTAAAATGTAAAAATGGATTTATCGGTTTTTGCATGTTTGCTCCACATATTATATAGGTACATACATATATGATTTATTCTCGCTGACGTTTTTAATGACTTTTTCAAATATTTAATGTTATTTTGACACTGGCCTACTTCATGTTTTGTCAAATTCTATTAACACATTTTTACCCTTACCCTGCAGTTAATGTTAATAAATGAAAATAAAAGAAAGTTTTTCGATTAAATTTGATTTAACCAACACTTGTTTTGGTTCTTCCATGGAGTTTTTGGTGACATTTTTGAAATACTTATTTTTTAGATTTTTTAATAAGCCTAATCTATAGCAAATAAAATAAGCCACTTCTCTATTAATCGATATAAGGTATATCAGCATTTTAGTAAAAATGAATGAATTTTAGTACGTTGTTTTTTTACCCCTTAAATACTGTGGTCTTCATCTTCATTTCGCGTTAACATGTGTTTATTAGCTATAAATTAGTTAAACGAAAATATCAACATTACTTTTTAGTGTTCTTTTAATTCTATAGCAAACAAGTTTTGTAAATTTAAATACCTTAAACCGAAACTGAACCAGAAAATATTCAAGACTGATTAAACTGCTCTCCTACTTTTACATTTAAATGGGCAATTATTTTTATAGCCCCCTATTGTAATATAAATTTTCCAAAACAAAAGGACATGCCTAGCTTAAATTTACGTAGGTGTATCAAGTCCACAAATCTTTTCGAATATATTTGAATTAACTGCGTCTAGATTCGGAGGGATTGAAGATTCATACAGTCAGAGATGTTAATTTTTTACACCTTGAATGAATACTATCATACATTACAATTACAAACGATGTAACTCATTGCAAGCCAGCAGTCATAATATGATTAAGCGTAGGATTATCCTATCTTTGCGTATAATCCGAAGAGGGACTTTGTTATGTGCTTTTTCATTGAATCACGTTTAAACAAAAGCATCGCTTTGCTATTTTCTTAAATTAATACCCAGCAGATTTATTTAATCTAGTACTATTCATGAAACATTGGCTTTGTTCTAATTTAAAGCCCGCATCCATTTTAAAATCAGGTAGACATGAATTAAGCTAACTTGAACTTACATCAATTTGTGAAGAGTTTATTACAATTTAATTTAATTTGAAATTACACTATTTTTTGTATTTATAATAACGAATGAATGAATGAATGAATGAATGAATGAATTAATTGATTAATTAATTAATGACTTAATTAATTAATTCATGAATTACGGAATGAACGAATAAATTAATAAATGACGAATGAATTAATAAATGAATCAATGAATGAATAAATTAATAGGGCTGAAAAATTGTTTAATTGTAGGCCTCCGCTAACGCGTCGGACTTCAAACTTTGAGGTCAGCACAAAAAGATACTTCTCAGTCGAATGGCATGCAAAATTTTATCTTCAAGGGACAGTTTTATTTGTTAAACTTACGCTTGAAGATAAAACATTTATCAAGTCAAGTAAATATTCGTGGTTTTAAACTCTTTTCAAAACTTTTTACAAAATAAATTATTTATTAATAATATATTTTTTGGTCGAGTAGCAAATCTGATTTAAACCTTCTGCTGAAATAAAACAAATGCACAATTAAAGTTAAAAACTTTTCTGTCGTCTATAAACTTTATTTAAAAGTTATTTAAATTACCCAAATGAAAGAATACGATTCCGCCAAGCTTTTTAATTTGTTTTCAAACTTTTGTCGGCGACCCTTGGCCAAAGGTTGACATTTCGTAACTGATAAATTTTTTCACGCCTAAATGTTTTAAAAGAATTTTTTATTTTCTTTAGAGTTAATATTATTTTATTCGAGACAAAGGTTTTTGTTTGAAACGATTTTTATTGTTTTGGGTAAACATTATTTAAAATGAGAATTTAGACACAGCAGGAGCATTGTTTAACTACCAACATTAAACAATGGCAGTTATAAATTTAATATTGATTTTTTACAACAGATTGTAAAAAAAATGTTTGAGGAGTAAAGATCAAAAATGCCCCACAACAAAAATTTTATTACTCTAGAAATTAAAAGAACAGAACCGATAAATATATTATACCTATTGTTATTAAATTTAGCTAATTAGCATACAGATAGTCACTTATGGAATAAAATTCGTTATTTGATGAAAAAAGATTATTTTAATAATCTTTTCTGTCCCAGCGTTTTCATATATGTAAAACGCTTGGACACGTAAACTTTTATTTTTATTTTAAATCTTTAAATTATAAATTTAAATTTTTGCTTCCACCATTTTCCACCCACCACATTATGCACATACATAGGATATATATCCTAAATAACACCCCTACTTTTTTCATCGAAAATTAACAGTGGGGTTTAGTAAACATACCTATAGTAATTATTGTATTTTAAACCAATTTGTTAAGATTAGATTTACTCCAATAGTTCATTTAATTCATTTTATTAGTTTCACTTTCTTTTAGCTTACTTTTAGTTAAATTTCTTAATCTGGAGTTCTAGTCTGGATTAACTTTAATTACCTATTTTTAATTTAACTTAACTTAATTTTTCTTGTTTTTATCTTTTCATTGTTAATTCTTTGTTTGTTAATATATTTATTAGGGTGTCCCAAAAAAAAAAAATTTTTTTTTCTTCTCGTCTCTTGTGAAAATATGTTGGTTTGTCATGTTTTAAGAGCCCTGTCAAAAGATCAGCACTATTAAAAAAATTTTATTTCCACCTTCTTAGTAAATGACATTTTATAGGTTAATTTGGTTGTTTTTGTATCCAAGTAAACGATACATTATGGGAACAGACCTGTAATATTTTACGGGCGTGTATAAAAGACCTGTAAAGTTTTACAAGCTTGTAGAAAAGCAATTTATAAAGTAAAATGTCAGATTTGACACATTAATTAAAATTTTAAATTTAAAAATCGTTATCTAAAGGTGAAAATAAAAGTTTGTACGTATCACGCTTTGCGATTAATCTTTACTAGGCTCATTGGATTATGGGGTTCGCTCCTGCGTCGCTCATCCCACAAACTTCCAGCTCGCCCGTAAAGATTCATTTACAAAGCTTGACACGTAAATAACTATTAGGGGTCGCTCAAGATTTTTAAAAATTACCAAAATCGTCAAAAATTGGATTTTTTTTTATTTTAATTTTTTTTCTCGTTCCGATATTATTTTTTAATTTAAAAATAATAATGATTCTGAAAATTTCAAATCGATATTTTAATTTCTAAAGGTCGCTCAAGATTTTTTTAACTTTCAAAGTAGAGTATTTTGAATGTTTTCAAGCGACCTCTGAATATAAATATCAACGAACTTTTAGTGACCTTTAGAAATCAAAATATTGATTTGAAATTTACAGAATTTTTATTATTTTCAACCTAAAAAATAATATCGAGACGAGAAAAAGAATTAAAATAAAACAAAAATTCAATTTTTGACGATTATGAAAATTTTTAAAAATCTTGAGCGACCCCTACAAATTTTTAAACGAGCTGATATTTTGAAAGTGCTCTTACAGCATGATAAACTAACATATTTTTACAAGAGACAAGAAAAAAAATATATTCTTTTTTTTTGGGACACCCTAATATTTATATGATTTCAAATATCGCTTTATTGCTACTTTCTCTTTTATAAGAAATAACCCTGAATCAATTTAAGTCAAAAAGTAAGTATATTGTGAACGGTGATCGTGTGTGAAGTTTTTCGGATGATTCGCCGCCTGTGGGTTCAGTGTGGGAATATCCATATCTGGAATACTTCGCCTCTACTCAGACTAGTCCATCCGACATCATCCAACCGCTACATCTAGCCGCTACAATTTTCTCCGGATTAAAGGTCAGATTAGATTAGTCATTTGTACCCGTTCACTCTTACGAGAACATCAAAACCCACAAGCTTCCATCGGTCAACCAAGTAATAAGAAAGAAATAATAGTATAGCGCGCGACAAACACACCCGCTACAGTAGTCTTAAGACATAACTATTAGTATTAG